GTGATGTTGAGTATTTTTTCATGTTGGCTGGCCTCATAAATATCTTCTTTTGTAAACTGTTCATATCCTTTGCCCACTTTTGAATGGTTTTGTTTTTTTACTGTACATTTGTTTTGGTTCTTTGTAGATTATGGATATCAGCCCTTTGTCAGATGGGTAGATTGCAAATATCTTTTCCCATTCTGTTGGCTGCCGGCTCACTCTACTGATAGTTTATTTTGCTGTGTGCAGAACTCAGGTTTAATTAGATCCCATTTGTCTATTTTGGCTTTTATTGCCATTGCTTTTGGTATTGTAGTCATGAAGTCCTTGCCTATGCCTATGTCCTGAATGGTACTGCCTAGGTTTTCTTCTAGGGTTTTTAGGGTGTTAGGTCTTATGCTTAAATCTTTAATCCATCTCGAGTTAATTTTAGTGTAAGGTGTGAGGAAGGGGTCCAGTTTCAGCTTTCTGCAGATGGCTAGCCAGTTTTCCCAACACCGTTTATTAAACGGGGAATTTTTTCCCCATGGCTTGTTTTTGTCGGGTTTGTCAAAACCTACAATCAGATGGTTGTAGATGTGTGGCATTACTTCTGAGGCCTCTGAACAATATAAATATTTTAAAACATCAATTCGTACCCCATAAATACAACTGCAATGTGTCAATTAAAAATACAATTTGTCTTCGAATAGATCAGTACAAATGACACAATGAAAGGACTGGAAAAAATTTTAAGACTGTACTATACTTTTTTTTTTTTTTAGACAGGATTTTACTTTGTCAACCAGGCTGGAGTGCCGTGGTACAGTGGTAACTCACTGCCGTCTTAAACTCCTGGCCTCAAGCAATCCTCCTGTCTCAGCCTTGTGAATAGTTATGACTATAAACTACAGTTGCATGCCATCACACTCAGCTAATTTTCAATAATTTTGGTAGAGACAGGGATCTTGCTTTGTTGCTTAGGCTGGTCTTGAACTTTTAGCCTTGGGTGATCCTCCCACCTAGGTCTCCCAAAGTGTTGGGATAACAGGTATGAGCCACCATGCCAGGCATGTGACATTATTTTTATATACTCTTAAAATGAAGATTTTTTTCACCTTTCACTAGATAATAGATCAACATATTTTTAAGAGTGTTCCCTAAGTCTGCCAACGTTAGCTATTATTATATAGTGTACTGCATTGAGCCATTTACAAAGAGGACAAAAAGAAAAAGACAATAAAAACCAACTTCCACAAGGACCTGCTATGTATTTAACAAAGAATTATCAGAGAGCAATGGACTGAAGAAAGCCTATATGAAAAATAGAGTTTGTTTTAGATACATCAAAAATCCACTATAAAAATAAGGATAAGGCTGAGTGTGGCAGCACACGCCTGTAATCCCAGCACTTTGGGAAGTTGATGTGGGAGGGCTTGAGGTCAGGGGAGGCCAGCCTGGCCAACAGTTACCACTGCAAATTTGAAAACAAAAATAAAAACAAAGTGATACATGTATAACCTAACAGCTGAATACTATCAAATTATAGGTCAAAAGTTACTTTTGTAAGAATAATTTAAATGTAGCTTATACCACATTCTTCACATTAAGCATGTGAACAGTGTGTATATAATTTTTTTTGATGTGAAAACTCAATGTTTATACCTGATCAAAGGGCTAAAACATAACACATACTAAAAACCCACTATTTAGTTATGTAAAATGATTAACATCTAAGAAGAGAACAATCAAATATTTTACTGAAATTATGCTTCAGAAAGTTAACAAATGTTTCCATTTAACACTGAATTTTAGAACATAATTGGAAAGTACAGGGCTTGGCAATTTAAAAATGAAAAAGAATTACCTAAAGAGTAATTTGAATTTACCATATCACTTGACAAACAACACTTCAAAGAAGAAAGGAGAGAGAGACTGGCAACACTAATCTAAATGAACATGTTACACTGGCAATTCTTGGTAGAAAGTTTCCTGGTACTTCTGTGTTATTAAACTGATGATCTCTTACTTAAAAAGAGAGTGTGAATGCATGCACCAAAAGAACATGTGCCAGGTGAACTACAGAAGATAATTTAGCTCATTTTAAGACTAAATAATTATAAGGTAAAAGTGGTATCCTGAAAGTGCTAATTATCTGTTGGCTAATTACAGAATGCTTTTCAATCCAGTTCTAGAATACATCATGTAGTTATTCTGTGTACAACAGGAACCTCTTCAGTAACCTTTAAACAAAAGAATAAAACACAAATAACATGACAAATTATTGGCTGAATTCAGACTCAGGGAGAAAGAGTGTACCTGTTGATCCATGGGGGGTACAGGTATTTATACTACTCTCAGTTGTTACTCAACTTGAGAACAAAAATAAAACAAAAGCAAGAAATGAACTAATCTATACTTGGAATAGCCAGATACATTTCAAATACAAGGTTTCCACTGGTCACAATCCCTCACCCTTTTTCTGCTATAGTTTTTAATGATGGTAGAAGAAAATCGAATAAAGGAAAGCTCAAAGGGGAAAGAACATAGAGATCCCAATTTTAGTAATATATATTTGAAAATTAAGAAGACACAAAAGATGTATTTTATTTATAGCACCTATACTAAAATACAGAAATTTAGAAGTATCATTTAATCCAGGAAACATTAATGTCTTTGCTTCTTAGTCCATTTCCCCTTAGTGCACTTCTGGTGCACCAAGCGTAGAAATTGTGTATTATTTAGCCCTAGTGCTCAGAGAAGTCTAGAGAAGTCAGAGTAAAATTTGTTACTGGCTATAGCTGTGTCCTGGGAAGACAGGGGATTAAGTCTTCTTTCTTCTGTCCTATAGTTTCCCATTGTTGTATAACGGGCATGCCTTTTAGTTTGAAAAGACGGTTTGAAGAAAATGAGAGGAGAAGCTTAAAGGTATGACTAACAATCCTGCAGAAGGGAATGCACAATTTACTGTTTCCCACTGAATTCTATAAATCTCTAGAAATTCTTACTATGAGAATTTCATTCCCTTGCTATACTGTGACAAATGCCCAAATATCTACAAGCAGACACACAGGTTTTAATATAAATCCACTATGTATTTCTTTACTTTGGGGGAAACTGCCTTTCATTGCACGATTCTGGATTTACTTGTCTATGGGAATAAAATGAAATGTCTGTAAGGTGAAGAGCGACCACATACCTGCTTTTAAACCCACCCATTCTGTGTCCTCTGAGAACTTCCTCTAAAATTCCCATCCCCTGAGTCTCTCTCTACCCCTCGAGAAGCCACTTTATTCTCCTACCTTCTTTTCCCTTCATATCCCTCCTCCTCTTCACTAGGACACAAACTCCTTCTCTCATCTACCATCCACCCTCTGCAATCCATCTTCCTCTCCAATCACTCTTTGGAATTCACTCTGAGGTTAACCCCCAAATTCAAGTCTTTCACTAAAATAACTTTTATTATGGAAGTTTTAAGGAATACTCAGGAGCAGAGATTAATAACTCATTAAATCCCTATGTATCCATCACTCAGTGTTGAATGATTATTGACTTGAGGCCTATTTTTTTTCAGCTGTTCCTCTCCTCTGACGACTCCAATAGATTATCGTGAAGCAAACTCCAGATACCCTATCATTTCATTCACAAATATTTCAGTATAGATCTCCAAACAATAAGAATACCTTAAAAGAATAAAACCACAATACCAAAAATTTAATTTCTTAACATCAGTGTTTAGATTTCTACAGGCTCTTTTAAAATAGAATCTCTCCATAGGGTTTTCCTCTACCCTTAATATCCCACCCCTTTCCACTGTCATCATTTCCTCCCTATTTTCGTGCTTCCATAATATTCTTTCAGAAATTTCTTTCCTCTTGCTGCCTCTGATTCTCTTCTCATTAAGGTTTAAAAGCGGGGTTGGCAAACTGACCTGCGATGGCCGTATGTTTTCATAAATAAAAGTTTTATTGGAACAGTTATGCACATTCATTTACATATTGCCTATCTCTACTTTAGAGCTGCAATGGCAGAATAAGTTACATCTCTCATGGGCAAGAGAGAACGTAATGTCTGGAAACCTAAGATATTTGCTATCCTGTAGGTTGAGAAAAAGTTTTTTTGATCCCTGAAGCTATTAGCAATAATCTGGAGTTCCACAACCTTGAGAATTCTACTAATCCCATCTACTATGATCCAATTGGAAGTGCCTCAGCGGTTCGATTACAGTGTTTCAGAAAGAAACCAACTATCACTCCTCCTTCAAGTTATCCTTCACAGCCACTAAAGCAAAATTCCTAAGATGATAATCTAAATCACATAAATTTGTGCTGCTTTAAAAAAACAAAAACAAGCAAACTAAACCGCAAACTTAGGTGGTTCCCCAGTAATATTTTTAGCTTTAATATGTTTTTTAATAACTGGATCCAACCTGACTTCCAAACACTGAAAACTCCTAGTCATAGCACATTATTCCATGAGTCCCTATATAAGCCATCCTTCCATGCCTTTGTTCATTTTGTTCCTTCTGCCTCAAACGCCCTTCCTACGACACTGTCTATCTTTCCACTATTGCCATAAAAAAACAACCAAGTATTTCTTATCAAGTTGCATCACCTGTAAAAAAATTTTTTTTTTTTTTTTTGAGACAAACTCTCACTCTGTTGACCAGGCTGGAGTACAGTAGTGTGATCCTGGCTCACTGCAACCCCTCCTCCCAGGTTCAAGCAATTCTCATGCCTCATCCTCCCAAGTAGCACCTGCTACCATGCCTGACTAATTTTTTGTCTTTTTAATAGAGACAAAGTTTCTTTATGTTGGTCAGGCTGGTTTCAAACTCCTGACTTCTAGTGATCTGTCCACTGTGGCCTCCCAAAGCGCTTGGATTATAGGTGTGAGCCACTATGCCCAGCCCAAAATATTTTTTATCAAAAAAAAAAAAAAAATCAAAATCCATACTAAAATCCATTCTCTAAGTAGAGGTTTTTCCATTAGAGCCATTCCCAAATTAAGTTTTCTTTTTTTTTTTTTCCCCTTCAGGGAAATGTTAAGAGTCCTGCAATTTATCCAGCCACTGATGAAGCTAGCTAGAGCTGGCAGGAACTCTAAATTATTCTTGCATACACTGTCCCCCCTGCCTGGCGACGAGCACAGTCAGGCAAGGTCTACGAGCATGCCTTCCAAATTAAGTTTTAACTTTCTTTATGTTGTAAGAAGTTTAAGCGACTTATATACGTATCACTCAAAAAACTAGTAACTGTGTACAGAATACAGAAAGAACTCCTGACTTAAGTATACAACAAAACCAGGCTACATTTTTAAAATTTAATAAAAAGAAGTAGGGATGGGAAGGTGAAGAAGTTACTGGTTTAAAAATCAGTTTCTGTTATGGTTAAACATTACATTTGAAAACAGGAAAATGGAGATTCACCTGGGTTTCTAGCTAAAATCAAGACTGAGCTGAAATGAATCACTAAAACACATTAGAATTATGATGAAATCTTTTAACTGATAAAATATTACTGAATATAAACGCAAAGTATCTATATCAACATCAAAAGAATATCTGGTAGGATATAATAATCACTTTACTACACTGTAGATTCAAAATAGTGAAATGCTCTTAGTTTTAAAGCAAACAAAAATTTCCAATAAGCAAAAAAGAATATTTTTTGCCAAAATATATTACATGTATATAAAAGGCCTATTAGCTAGTTGACAGTCTCCCTCAGGATTGGCTTTTAACTCTGATAAACTAACATGGCAGAAACATTTTACTCTTCTGCTATAGGCTTCTCCTCATTTCAGCAAACTCACCCAGATGTTACCTACTTACTTGCATTTCCACACAACATCTCTACTGAAGATCCCTGTGAAGTCTGGGAGTCAATTTTTACCCAATTCAGTGTTGCTGTCTAAACCTACTTGATCAGTGACGAACAGCTGCTGAGCCCACAAGTCAGTCGTGGTGGAATTTTCCAGTTGCTTTGTGTTCCATTCACATATAGTTTAGAAGGTGGCATGGATTATCAGTAGAGTTATAACTCTTTAGGATGAATTTGTGACAGCATAACCTGAAATGCAGGTATATGATTTCTGTCTAAAAATCAAAAACCTTCCACCAATATCTGAGAACATGTTTACCAACAAGAGTGCAAGGAGTGCATTGCTTATGGCTTTTCTGACATCAATTCCAGCTCATTCAATAGTACAAAGAGCCAAATGTGCAGTGATTCCTTCAATTTCCCAAATGCACTAAATAAACCCAGAACACCACATTTGCTGTCCTGGGCACATTCTGTTCTCAAAAAAGAAAACACAAATAACTAATTCTGCATATCATGAAAGGACATAAATTTTCTGAAGGTCCTCAGCCATATAACGTTTTTCAATAGACGAGAAAGCCATACTGCCATGAGCTATGAATCTACTGTTGTGTATTATTTCTTCATTAGTAGGTAAGGACGAGTTGTGCCACCTGGAAAACTGAGGAATTATTTTTTGGAAACAGATTTTTAGAATTGAAAGAAACCTTAGAAACCATTTAGCCTCAGGTTAAAGATAATGAAATCTAAATCCTCACAAATTAAGCCACTTGCTCAAAATCTAACCGCTGATAAATGGAAGCAACTGGTTACGCTTTCAACTCAGGTCATAGTGCCTCTTGAGAAACAGATTAGAGGAAAAATATTAAAATATTCTAGCAAATCGGAGAGGCATGAAGCCACTTTGAGGGCATTCTCATTACTCTGTAAATTCCAAATATAGTAGAAAGTATGTGATCTTAAAATTACCTAGATTGTTTGTAAAGCTACTACTTGTTACATAAAATATGAAGGCGGCAAAACTTTATGTATTAGAAAACACCAGAATTGAATTCCTAATAATGTCATGTCTTCTATTCATTTTGAAAGATACTTTCTATTCAGGAAAATATGGATCTTTCTTTTTAAAATTTAAACAAATTACAAAGCAGCAACATCAATAATAGTGATAGCAGCCAATATTCCTGAGCATTAACACTTTTTATTTATTTATTTATTTATTTATTTATTTTTATTTTACAAAGATGGGGTTTCACCATGATGGCCAGGCTGGTCTTAAACTCCTGACCTCAGGTGATCCACCCACCTCGGCCTCCCAAAGTGCTAGGATTACAGGCGTGAGTCACTGCGCCCAGCACTCCTGAGCATTTATTATAAGCCAGGCATTGAGCTAAGAGCTTTCTATGCACTGTATATGCACAAATTCCATCATGCACTGTATATGCACAAATTCCAACTCTGTAACATGGCTATGAAGTACATTTACAATTCTAGGTCACAGAGCTACTGAAAGGCCATGCTTTTAGCCACCACCCTAGACTGCCTCTTATTAGGCCTTAATTTTGCTGAGATTGAGTAAAAAGATGCTGCTTTGTAAACAGGGAGGCAATTATAGATGACCACTAATAAAATTTTTAAAGCAAAAAAAAAAAAAAAACAACTATATATAACTACCAACACACCACTCTCCCCATCAGACCTTCATTTTGATAAACTGATTTAAGAGGGATTAATTTTTACAAAGATTATTTCTGTCTATATTTAATCACTCATCTTGAAAACCCTTTCACTAATACATTAAAAACATATTGCTTTGAATATCTAGTATATAAAGTTACTTTTTAAAAATGAAATAAAATTGAAAATGTATAGGACAACACAGCAACTGTATCCTGAAGGTAACACATACCTTGCTTTCTCCTTCCAGAGTTTACAATAAACATCTACCAGTTAGAAGAATAAGCCCATGGGCAGTTTCTGAGCATGTATAGACATTCTTCCCTGAACAGTGTACAGGGCTAGGCATACAGCCCACAGAGTCTTTACTCTTTTAAGAGCCCATGTGACATTTGAAACACCTTTAAGACTTTGATAGAAAACAATACTGCTTTACACATTTCGGTATTTTAATGAAAGAATCCACACTAACTGAATCTCAGTAAAGGTGCTCCAATACCTAATCTCATCCATTCTACTCCCCTTAATTTTTATTACTAATGATAACATTATCAAGTATTTATTTTTCTGTACTGAGACCAAAGGGTAGCAAGAATTTAAAGGGCACCAACAACTTTAAAGTAGTAAGATTATTCCTGAAAACAAGTTGTTTTAATCAGTCCAGACCTGTAGACAAGATTTTTAAAGTATCCTTCTTTCAGAAAGAAAAAAATATTTTAAGTACTTGAAATCTTCTGACTTCGAATTTTAAATAAATAAATTCCAAATAGCCAGAAGAAAAATTACTTCAGGTATGCACTGTCATGAACTCAAAGTTTAGCAAGACACCTCGCAGGAAAGGATCTCTGTCATTATGAATGCATCATTACCAGCACTGCCCTTCAAGTCCTTTCAGAGAGATACCTAACACTGCTCCCTAAACAGCAGAATGTATCTTTAGTTTTCTTTTTGTTCTTTGTTTCATTCTTTTCTCATTGCTTCCTTTTTTTTTTTAACAAGTTATAATAAGCACCACTATAATTCAACAGAAAAAGAATGGGCTAAACATCCTATGCTGAGGTCAGAATCAATAGTCATACCTCAGCTTACTATTTATACATTATCTATAGTTGTTTCCTCTTCAAAACTAAGACTGAGAGAATGGGAAAATGTTAGATTCTAAACCATCATCTATTAAAGGTTACAATGGAATATAATTGCTACTGTACAACAAGAACATAAACTTTAAAAATGTACCAGGGTAGGGCAAGAACAAAAAACATCATTATGCATGCTAGTTTAAAGATTTTATATGGAATGAATTACATAAATTGCCATATTTTTAAGGCTGGGCTTAATTATCTATTGATACCACAATAAAACCTATGTAAAATTGTTCTGCTAGGCAGTTTTATTCAACAGATGTAAAAATATTTCCCATACAATCTAAGTGAAATTTGTATTCTACCATCCTTTTGATGAAAAACTTGCTGGTATTAAGAGTAAAAATTAAAATGATTCTGGTAAATTATATATTCACTTCACGCACTAACATGACACTGGAAAATTTACCTATTCATCTAGAGAATTATAACAAACATCAGTATATGTAAACACATGTATCTTTCATGTAAGTAAGTTTCCTATTGCAATTTTATTTTAAAAGGAACATTTAAAATGGTTAAGTATGTTCTCACTCGTAAGTGGGTGTTAAACAATGAGAACACATGGACACAGGAAGGGGAACAATACACACTGGGGACTGTCAGGGGGTGGGACGCTGGAGAGGAATAACAGGGCAGTGGGGGGGGGGGGAGGGACAGCGTTAGGAGAAATACCTAATGCAGATGACAGGGTAATGGATGCAGGAAACCACTGTGGCATATGTATACCTATGCAACAAACCTACATGTTCTGCACATGTACCCCAGAACTTAAAGTATAATAATAATTTTTTAAAAATTGCAAGTATGTCTTCAAGAAGCTGTTACTGTTGATTACAGGTCACTTTTTATAAAATTGTCTGCAGACAATTTCATTCCTGAAGTAGATTCTACTAACACTATTTTCTTGAAATGTAGACAATGTTTGTTTCTTTTAAAATTTTTCTTAGTTATTTCTAAGCACATTTAACTCAGCAATTAAAGCTAAAGGTATAAGGTAAAAAAACATTGAAATCTAGTACTAAAAATATAAAATTATTACATGAGAAAAATACGAAATTAAAAGATTGAGATTTTTTCTTTTCTAATGAAAAGATAACAAAGCCAATTTCTAAACAGACTAGTTTTCAGTTTTATACTAACTAAAATGTAATAAATAGGCCTACTCTTATTGGCAATGTTGTTTTAATTACATTAAATTTGTTTGCTTTTAAACAGATGTTTACATGTTATAATTCAACCACAGTTAAGGAAAGAAAGTGAGGAGAAAATGTGGTTTAACTGATGACCTTCTATTTTCCAGTCCAGTGGTTCTCAATGTGTGTTTCTGGACCAGCAGCAACTATATCATGTGGAAACTTGGTAGAAATGCAAATTCTCAGGTATTAACCCCACACCTACAGAATCAGAAGCTCGATGGATGAGGCCTATGAATCTGTGCTCAACTAACCCTTCAGGAGAATATAAAGCCCACTCAAGCATGAGAACCACTGCTCCAGCCTGTAAATCCACGTCCTTTCATCACCCCCTTAACC